AAGCCTCAAAAGGCCAAGACCACTTCAAACAAAGCTTAAGCATGTTAAATAAAGGCCAAAAACATGCTAGACTAGAGTCAACACATGCTAGAATGATGGACCAAAGCATCAAGCATACAAGGCTAATTAGCAAAATTCCCCTACAAGTTTAAGAAGCATGCAAGCAAAGATTAAACCAGCCTAAAATAGAGTTATGATAGGTCCAAAAAGTCACAAAAACATGCTTGAACTCAGCTTAAGAAAAGGAGAAACACATGCTCACTTGATAGGCCAACAACACATGCAAGCAAGACAAAAGAAGAGGGGACTACCCCCTCCCATTTGGGACCTCAAGACCACCTTTCCACCACTGAAATTCCTCTAAGTTTCAGTGGTAGAAAGGCCAAGCAAAGGCTCTTACAAAAGCTAAGGAAGGTGGCTCAAAAGGCTTTACAAGCCAAAGAGCAAAAGAGGGGGAAACACCCCCTAACCGCACAAGACTCAAACTAACATTTTCAAGCCTTAAAATCAGAGTTTTTAAGAGGTTAAAACCAGCCTTAAAATAGCATGCAAAGGTGATCAAACACTTAATCAAAACAAAGCTTAAGAGGGACAAGTTGTTACCCTTGAAGAATAGCAGCAAGACAGGTCTTCCTCCGAGCCAAAACCAGCTTTTGAGCTCCAAACAAACCTTCAAGAACCTCAGCTCCAAGGTAATGGTGTTTGACTAGGTGTTTTAGTGCAAATATGGAAAGAAAATACACTTTCAAGCACAATATAGCACAATATAGAGAGAGAGAGTGAGTGAGAATTCTAGAGAGAGGGTGAGATTTTGTCTCTAAAAAAATCTGAACCTCTAGAAAGGGGGAGGAGCCTCCCCTTATATAGAGCAATTCAATGCAAAGCTTGCTTGACAAGCTTGAAATGGCCTCCATCCCTCCATATGGAGGATGGCTCAGTGAAAAACAGCTGGCTCAAAAGATCTAAAACAATATCTTCTGAAAACAAGGTGTCCTGCAGGCCATCAGTGGTGGCCGACAATGCCTCATTGATGGCCGGCAGGCCTTATCAATGGCCGGTAGGGCCAAATCCATGGTCGGCAGGCCATCACAAACATCAATATGGAGGGACCAAGGCATGGTCAAAAAATGAGACATAACAGAAATAGGGTTTGGAAAGAGCAAACTTGGCATTCCGTCGCGAAAGTTGAGCGCTCAACGAGCAATCAAACTTGTAATCGGATGTACCTGCAAGCATATCCAAGTCTTGAGGATGGTCAAAAATGGGGTATCTACAGTTGCCCCTTTTTGACAGAACTCGAAAGTCATAAAATGACGGGAGTGAATGTCAAAGCTCGAAGACGACCCATTTTTGACAAGGCCGAAGACTCAGACAAACAAACGAGATAACAATATAGATGCGCCCACAGGCTGGGGCAAAATGCAAATGCCATGCACGATGCAGATCATAACTTATGATTATGCAAAGAGGGCTGCAATGAAACATCTAGATGCAAATGTTATGTAAAGTAATGCTACAGCGAACTCGCACATAAATAAGTAAACACGAACCAAGTTACATCTCATGCAGAAAGGATGTAAGAAAATTATGCAATCTTAGCGAACGTGCGATAGATACACAAAATGAGTATGTGATAGATACACAAAGTGAGCATGTGTGATAGATACACAGAGTGAACATGTGATAGATACACAAAGTGAGTAAAATGTGATAGATACACTAGGTGAACAAGGTGTGATAGATACACTAGGTGAACAAAGTGTGATAGATACACTAGGTGAGCAAAGTGTGATAGATACACTAGATGAACAAAGTGTGATAGATACACTATGTGAGCAAAATGTGATAGATACACTAGGTGAGCAAAGTGTGATAGATACACTAGGTGAGCAAAGTGTGATAGATACACTAGGTGAACAAAGTGTGGTAGATACATAAAAGTGAGCATTCTTGAACAGAACTTCTCTGAATGGACCGCACATCCAATATTGCCTGGTTATGCCAGCCTCAAATGAACCGTACATACAATATTGTGCTTGCACAAAAGAGAACTTTGACAGGTACAATATAGTAGAAACCCATGTTCAACGTTATATCAAGATATCACTTCAAGAAAAGATATATGCGTATATATGCATGGTGTAAACGAAAAGATGCAAAACCATGCAAATGAAGAGGTGCACAACAATGCAAGTGGAACATGCATAGCAATGCAAATGAAAAGGTGCATAGCAATGCAAGGATTCAAAACGCACTTTCAATGTAACAACAAAGCAATATATACCCTTTTGCGGCGACCAAAGCGCGTATGAAAGAGAACACTCAACGGTAGCTTCCAATTTACCTATTGGAGATTCACAACATGTTAAAAGGATACACCTCGCATGTGTTGATGAGTGATGGCCATTGCGCATCATGAACGCCATTTCGAGCTTCCGCGGAGGCACTTTGAATCAAATTTTGCACATATCTTGCATAATTTGGAATCCAATGACACATCAAAAAAAAAAAAAAATAGAGGCCTAGGAAGCTTGTAGGACCCCGCCGGCCATGGGGGAACGTCGCCGGCCACCCGCCGGCCATCGGTGACAGTTGACGGCCATCAATGAAGTGGTGCTGGCGATCGATGTGCCACTGCCAGCCATCGATGGCAAATTCAGGCTTTTTGGTCTTTTCGGCCGTGGGTCTTGATATACACTCAAAATCAACCCATTTCTTTACAAACCCTTGCACAAAAAACATTTCCCTTGCTCTCTAGGTGTGCCTTCTCTCTAGATCCGCGTGTTCTACGGGTTTCC